GTGAGACTTATAAACTGAAAATATTGTTGAGAGGTATGCATATGGCACACTGCCACTAAGGATGCCCATATCCCATATCAGAGTGCCTGGGTTTGAGCACTGGCTCCACTCCTGATTCCAGCTTCCTGCTAATGCACACTCTAGGAGGCAGTAGGTAAAGGCTCAAGTATTTGGGTCCCTCCCACCCACGTGGGAGAACTGGATTAAATTCTTGACTCCCAGCTTCAGCCTGGTGCAGCCCTGGCCATTGCAGGCATTTGGGCAGTGAGCCAGTTGATAGAAAACTCTCTCTCCCTCCCTCCCTCCCTCCCTCTCTCTCTCTCTCTCTCCTACACACACACACACACACCCTGATTTTCAAATACAATAAAACATTTTAAAATCCCAATTATGTTGAAAGAAATTTAAAAAGACATAAATAAATGGAAAGACACCCCAGAATTGTGGGTGTGACTGCTAATGAGTACACAGCTTCTTTTAGGGGTGATGAAAGTGTGCTAGAGTTAGATGATTGTGATGATTGCACAACCTTGCAGTGATGCTAAAAGTCATTGGATTGCACACTTTACGTGGCTAATCTTTTTAAAAATCTATTTACTTATTTGAAAGTCAGAGTTACACAGAGAAGGAGAGGCAGAGAGAGAGAGAGAGGTCTTCATCCACTGGTTCACTCCCCAGATGGCCACAATGCCCAGAGCTGTGCTGATCTGAAGCCAGGAGCCAGGAGCTTCCTCTGGGTCTCCCGTGTGGGTGCGGGGGCCCAAGGACTTGGCCATCTTCCACTGCTTTCCCAGGCCATAGCAGAGAGCTGAATCGGAAGTGGATCAGCCAGGACTCAAATAGGCACCCATAAGGGATGCTGGCACTGCAGGCAGCGACCTTACCTGCTATGCCACAGGGCTGATCCCTAAGTAGCTAATTTTTATGGGATGTGCTTATATCTCAATAAAAATGTTGTGTAAATATTAAGTAATCATGAAAAATGACTTTATAGTTTCCAGTATATTTAAAGAAAAAGCATCCTTAATCCAACAGAGCCCCAAAGGAAATAAAAAATAAACCTAGAAAAAATGGGAAATGGACAGTATAGCATATAAATATAATGACAGTATAAGCTAATGAGCTAAGCTCATATTTGGTGTCATACTAGTTTTAGAAACCTAGAGAAGGATGTTGTAGTGCAGCTGGCAAAGTCACTGCTTGGAACACTCACATTCTGTATCAGAAGGCCTGGGGTCAAGTTCCTGCCCTGCCGCTGATCCCACTTCCTACCAATGTTCCTGCCACCCGTAAGGAGACTCAGATGAAGCTCCTGGCTTCTGCCTGGCCCAGCCCTGGCTGTTGTAGGCATTTGGGGAGTGAATCAGAAGATAGAACATATCTCTCTCCTTTCCTCTCCTCTCTCTGCCTTTCAAATACATACCTAAATAATAGAAACTTTTAAATGTTATGATGTTTACTGGAGACTCCTAAAACCTACAGGTAAAGAAGGATTGGAAGTGAAAAGACAACAAAAGAGGTACTAAGTATGTATTGTATAGGAGAAAAACAAATGGTTATAATCAGGGTAAAATTATATAAATCAAGAAAAAATACTCTTTAAGGAAACTGGAGTTATTAGAGGTGAGGTAGCTCTTTTCATAGGAATAGGTATCATTTATCCAGGAAGACATATGAATGCTAAACAAGACATCCACACATACAAAGCAAGTGTTGACAAAATCACTTGAAGTAACTGACAAACCACTTGAAATAACTGACAAACCACCATGGTGTGGAGGCATCAACCTCTCCTAGTAACTGATCGACCAAGCAAACAAAGCTGTCTGTAGATAGCAGGCCATAAAATCAAGTCCCAGCAAAGTTCAAAGAAACCAGTCATAAAACAGCAAAGCTTACTGATTTGTACGGAATAGATGACAATCCAGACAGAAATCTCTATACATTTCTATCATGCGGAGGATCTTGGTTTACCTGTTTTGGTTTTCACAGTTTACTTTCACAAATTGCTTATTTTGAAAGGAGAGCTATTTTGCCCAGTGTGTACCTGGCAGTCTCCTTTCAATACTCGGTCAACCTCATGGGAATAATCATCACCTTCATTTTTACAAAGAGGAAACAGAAACTCAGGAAAACCAAATGATTTTCCTAAATTCAAGTGCGTGGGGTGTAAGTTTGCACTCAGAGTTGTCTGGACCAGTCCTGTGTTATCTGTGTCTCAGAACTGAGATCCTGTTTCTTGATTTAGGTGTCTATTCCTCCCTGGAAACCAGACAGTGAATTTTGAGCATGGGTAAATAAATGTGATCTTACTCTCAAGAGCAATTCACATGCAGTGCCTCTCTCCTGCATCTTTCTTCCTTGTTTATATAGACCATGAGTCATTGTGAAAAATAGAAGGTTGGGACCGCCTGCACTAAGGTACTGCCTGTATTGCTGGCATTTCACACGAGCCCCACTTGGGTCCTGGCTGCTCCACTTCCGTTCCTACTGATGTGCCTGGGAAAGCAGTGCGAAGATGCTCCAAGCACTTAAGCCTCTGCCTCCCACATGGGAGACCAGGACAGAGTTCTAGGCTCCTGGCTTCAGCCTGGCCCAGCCCTGGCCATTGTAGCAGAATAGGAAATGAACCAGTGGATGGAAGATTGATCTCTGTCTTTGTAACTCTGCCTTTCAAATAAACAAATCTTTGACAAAATAAATGAAGGGTTTATACCATAACCCTCCATATAAATTATTTACCATAGTTTTTGATCAGAAGAAAATGAAAGCTCACTTTAACAACATTAGGTGAATAGTAAGATGTCCATGCTTATAATATGCAATTGATCTGATTTTAATTAAGAAATCATATACTAACAGAGTAGGAAATGTATAGGAGAAAAGGGGAGGGAGAGTTTAACTTTCTTAGAATGGTGGTTATATCTTGCAGGTGCAGAACAATAGCTTAACATGTATTAAGCTAAGTTCTATGCTTTACATATATGACTTTTAAGTACATGCCATCCAGCCTATGAAAAAGGTATTTTGCTTCCCATTTTTATAAACCAGAAAACCAAGGCTCAGAGCAGTTGGGTAACTTGACACCATTGAGGCCATGTTTTTAAGCCAAAGGCCATCTTGAAAGGTACCGTTAAGTCTTCTCAGGGTAGAAACACTCTGTGTCTGGTAACATCAGACTTTTCAGTCTACATTTTCTTCTTTTCATTATTTCCTTTCTCATCCAAATCCCCACCCCTACGTTGTAGTCAACCAGTCTCTTGGAATGCTTTGGCTGAGCTTTTTCAGATTTCGTTTGTGGGTGGCTAACTATGACCAGATGCATATAAAAATGGTTAATTGCCCTGTTTGCTGGGAAAATTCCAGTTTCTTACTCTTCCAGTAGGTAGCACAGGCATAGCTTTGGGCAGCACGTTGTGCAGTGAGACAACATGGCAAGATCCCGGAAGCCAATCTGATGGCCAATGCTGAGGGAGTCGGCTGTCTGTTCAACCAAAGGCATACATCAGGCTTAAGGAGAGAAGGTTAGGATACAGGAAACAAGGAGTGTGGCTTTGGGCCGAGAAGTGGAATATCAACCAGCCGTGTACTAGAGTGAATATCTAGACTAATGGGAGTGTTTTAATCTCACCCGGAGCCAGATGCTTCCTGCTTCTCTGTCTTCAGGTTCTAGGAACTAAAATGTTGTCCATGAAGCATGAAATGGGTTGGAACAGCCAGCAATATGTTAGGTATTGGGAATATGTGTTCTGCCATGTCTGCAGGAAACAGAGGATCTCCTAGTGGGAGTGTCACCCAGCTTGTTTCTTTCTGGAGTGTTTAGCTGTGAATTACCTCAATTGTAGGAACACTAGCTTCCATAGCTGCGGAAAAAAAAAACAACAGATTTTTATATGAGGGTATGTCAAAATGCTAATGACAAAATGGAATCAAAAAATTTATTTTGGTGCAAATTTTTTTGAAATACAGGTGCCATTTTTTTCATAATATACACTTTCCATGAACTTTTTGAAGATCCCTCTTATGCATGGATTTCAGAAATCCTTTGCCCCCCCAAAAAAACATCTAATTCAGTTTCCCACAAACTTTTTGAGGTACTCTCATATGTAAGGTAAAATGTTGCTCCTCTTTCATATATTGAGCCAATTAAGCAAGGAGTTCTCAAGTAGTTACTGTGTAATAGCACAGTATCAATAATAATAATATTTGTGTAATAACCCAAAGTATATTTGGTAGGACTGAAAATTCAAGAGACTCAGGCTAATGCTACTCAATTTACTTTCATAGGTTTTAGCTTTGTCAATAAAAATGCAAATGAAATGATTGGATTTTTTCATTTAGCACTAACTGTAATATTTCAAAATAATCACTATTTATAAAAATTAAAAAAAATATATAGCGCTAAGCTAAAGGAGGAATCTAGTGAGTAATTTTTAAATTGTCCTACCCGTGACAAGCGAAAGAAGTGAGAGAAACATGTGATCTTGGAGTTTCTCTTTTGCCTCACGTGTGTTTACTGATATTTCCTACCCTAATGTACTTTACACGGTTTGTTCTTGGAAAATACTAGCTGATTTTTTTCATAGAAAATCTATTTCACGTTCTGTCCCAAACCCTGATGAGCCAAAGTTGAAGCTGAAGAGGTGGAAACCCCCACATGCAACATGAAAGTTCCTGGCTATTTGTCTGTTGATGCCAGTAACACCTATTCATCCTGGTTACTGAGGGGGGTACAACTCTGTGTGCATCACAGGTACAGAGGAGCCTGAAATGCATCCACGTTTTACCCAGCGAGCTCCGGGGACAGTTTCTGTTGTAGTCTTGAGACGACACTTTTCCCCATTTTGTTTCAAAATGACTTTGCAGACGGTGATAGTGAAAGGTGATTTATTCTTGTTATTGCCTCTCAACTTTGCAGTAAATCACGTGATTTGTTTCTTAGAAGCTTAGAAATTATGAGCTGGAAGGAACCTTAGAAATCAGCCCACATTATTTTACAGATGACAAAGCTGGAACCAGAAAACTCCGAGCCCCTTTCCACTGAAGAAGATTTTGTTTGTGGCTGAGCCAGAACTGAAGTCTGTCTGCTTGAGTTCACCTAGGTTTTTTTTTTTTTTTTACCTGCACACACAATCACATTTTACATGTCTATGCCAAAATAGCTGGTCAGGTCACCAAAAAAATAAAACTTCCGTTGGTGGTTTGGACTGTGAGCCTGTAATATGCTCTACAGCGATTTACTTTCTATGAGTGAAGCTGACCATCTTTTCATTTGATTACTGCTTATGGTCCTTGCCTACTTCCTGCTGAACGTTTTTATTTGTCTTTATTAAGTGGACCATTAGGCCTTTGATGATAATGTGAATTAAAAATGTTATCTCAAAAAATAAGAAGCAAAATATAAAGCTGGGAAAAAAGCCTGTAAAGACAGAGATGGTGAATATAATCAAATTACAGTCAACAGACTTATGAATTTTTACTGTATTAAAATTATTTTTCATCACTGTCTTTTTAAATTCTTTTAACAAATATACACCTGTGTTCAGAACTCAAAATATTTTTCCACTGTGCATGTTACATAGGTGATACAGTTATTCCTTATGTTGTACACTATTCAATTTGTGAACAGTGGGGAAACCATAACTTTTCTAGCCTTTCCACTGAATATCTTGGAATTATTCTAAGTAATTTGGTTTCTTTCTTAAGAGTCCTAAATTCTGAAAGTTAGCAGGTTTCCCTCTCTAATCAGCTGTTAAAAAGTAAAGGGCAAATGCGTAGCCTAATTTTCTTAGTGCCAAGGGCGCTGGGTGAATGGATCATTCTCCTATCCTTTATCCTGACTCTATTTTGCACTCTCACACTTGGTGCGTTGTTTTTATAGCCATTTCTGTGCTACACTACCTTGTTTTACTTGCTCTTCGAAACTTCCATCTGTTTCTGTGACAAGACAAATGCAAGTAAATCTTCATCGGTTTGACTCTGCTATACAGCTGTATTGTTATCATAGATGGAGTCAGAATTCAGGCCACAGTTTATCTGGAATGTAACTAGAAAGTTTTTTCTAACTTGATTAGTTTACCCTCTTCAACCTTGGGCTGGTCTCGTTTGGATAAGCGTATATCATGGAGAGGACAGGAGGAAATCCAATTATTTTGTAACTTGTTTACATAATTTGATTTGCCTGAACTACATCTGAACCTGCATTTAAACTTGCAGAAGATAAATCATAGATTTTCTATAGAAGTATCGCACACAAATATGAAGAGAGGGTAGTGATCATTTGTTTTAAAATCCCTCGTACCAGGTAATGTGTTCGTTTGATAGGGAATTTCCATGGAGTTGAAAAGCTGTTTGTATAGCAGATAAATGTCTGAAAGATCAATGGTAATGACTTAAACTTCAAAGACTGGTTTTCCCCTAATAGTTTGCATTTCTTAGCGCTGAGAAACGAAGATGCACACTGGATTGTAGCGAGGCTCAGAATTGATCTGAAGATCCTAGCTGGTTTCTGTCCATTGCTGAGGGCCTGAGAATGATCTGATTCTGTTTGAAAGTTAATTTCCTTTATAAAGCCAAGTTTGTTCTTTCTGAAGATTCTATTCACAAGACACCTGATCTCCAAAGGGAAATGTTCCCTAGCTGTTCCATGACATCATTCCTTGTAGCTATTCCATAGACTTGGAAGGAATGGACATGCTGGTAAGATGCCATGAGATTTAAACCTTCTTGAAAACTGAAAGAAAATACGTGTCAGGAAATAAACCTGATCCAATAAAGCAGATAAAGGCAGGCCAACATTGCACCTGCTGGTTCACCTGGTTGGAATGGAGAAAATAAGAGGATGAGACATCACAGGACGTGTTGTGTCAGCTTGTCCTCCGCATGTGATTTAATAGGTGATGGAGCAAACAGGTAATTATTTCAAAAGGTAGGTAGATTACATCTAGGATTATATTATCCAATAGAGGAGCTACGACCTACTTGTGGTTATTTGAATATTTAAAATGTGGCTTGCACAAATCAATATGTATTGGAAGTGTGAAATATATGCTGGATTTCCAAGGCTTAGTACGAAGAATATAAAGTATCTAAATGATTTCTATATTAATTACCTTTGGGAATGACATATTTTATATAAACTTAATTAAATAAAATATTTTGTATATGTAAAATATTAATACAATATTAAAATGTTTCACCAGTAAAAACTCCAGGGCTTGTCAGTAGAAAGTGTTATAGAATACTCCATCATGAAATGAGATTTGTTTTAATGATAATATTGGTCTCTTACTGATTTTATTCCTGGAAATTTACACTAAGAAATAATAGTAATAGAACCTATACACACATCACATTTTTTTTTTTTTTTTGACAGGCAGAGTGGACAGTGAGAGAGAGAGAGACAGAGAGAAAGGTCTTCCTTTGCCGTTGGTTCACCCTCCAATGGCCGCCGCGGCCAGCGCGATGCGACCGGCGCACCGTGCTGATCCGATGGCAGGAGCCAGGAGCCAGGTGCTTTTCCTGGTCTCCCATGGGGTGCAGGGCCCAAGCACCTGGGCCATCCTCCACTGCACTCCCGGGCCACAGCAGAGAGCTGGCCTGGAAGAGGGGCAACCGGGACAGAATCCGGCGCCCCGACCGGGACTAGAACCTGGTGTGCCGGCGCCGCTAGGCGGAGGATTAGCCTAGTGAGCCGCGGCGCCGGCCCACACATCACATTTAATTACTACAATCACAAATATACATACACACACTCAGCCAATAGGAAATACATAATGTTCAACAACGGAAGAATGAACAAGTTTCAGACAGACAACTTAATGGAAATTTGTATATGTGAATTTTATGATATGTGGAAAAATCATAAATAAGATGATGCGTGATATGATTGTGCTGTACTTGCCTCTAAAAAATTCCCAGAAATCAATTTTCAAAGTCAGATAGATGTGCTGAGGTGACAAAATTATAGGTGATTTCTTATCTTCCAGTGTTAAACAGACGACTGATACATCAGGTTTTATGTTAAGTTTTAAAGCAATAGGAGAAAATAATATATTACAAAGAAACCACTATGACTTCACTTAACCTTAATTACATCCAAAATATCCTGTCTCCAAATGCAGTCACATTAGGGGTGGGGGTTTCCCCCTAGGAATTTGCGGCAATGCAAGTGCGTCCACAGTGCTTTGTAGGATGACCTGACTCAGGCTGCATTTCCAGAAGCTTGAAATTGAACTCCAAGTCCATTTCAAACAAGCTATGCACGAGAACTCCTGCACAGTCCTTTCTTTCTTTTTTTTTTTTTTTTTTAAGATTTATTTATTTGTTTGAAAGGAAGAGTTATACAGAGAGAGAAGGAGAGGCAGAGAGAGAGAGAGGTCTTCCATCTGCTGGTTCACTCCCCAGATGGCCACAATGCCCAGCGCTGAGCTGATCTGATGCCAGGAGCCAGGAGCTTCTTCCGGGTCTCCCAGACGGGTGCAGGGGCCCAAGGACTTGGGCCATCTTCTACTGCTTTCCCAGGCCATAGCAGAGAGCTGGATCGGAAGTGGAGCAGCAGGGACTTGAACCGGTACCCATATGGGATGCCAGTAAACTGCAGGCACAGCAACAGCCCCAACGCAGTCCTTTCTTGTCTACACAATGGAGGGGGAAAAACTCTTTCATAGGATTATTTTCAATTTATCCTCACTTTTATCTGTTTCTGTCCTTTATGGTTACCTTTTTCTGTAGTTAAGTTTATTTCATTACTTCACTTTCTTCTATTTCTTCAGCCACAGAATTTCAAGATTATTTAAGTGGTTTTCCTACAAATTACCATATGCATCCTCGACTCATTAGAAGCTACTGTAAAAGCTAATGGCATTACCACTGCCCGGAATATAATCTTACCACGTGTAAACTGTCTTTACGCACCCTCTACCTTTTGTGCTATTACTAGCTTATGTTGGCTGTTATCCACATATTGATAACTCTAGTCTCACTTTATGTTGTTCTGTGAAAGTGATCTGGATGCATAAAATATCATCCCTTTACTGGTTGTATGTCAGCCTTTGCTTGCGGAGGGTGCCGGGAAACAGTGGTTGTGGGTGGGCGTGTTCCCTTCTGGGTCCGCTGTGCTTTGCTCAGCCCTCTAGGGTGCACTTCTTCCTCTGCTGCCCTCCCACATGGTTTTCAGCCATGTCGAGCTCCTCCAGGGTGTGGCTTTCTGCAGCACATCGCTGTTTTCTCTAGTGGTTCCCTAGGGTTACTGCCGCATGCGCAATGACTCAAGTCTACATCCCTGCAGGGGGACACTTGGCCAGCTCCTGGGTCCAGCTCCCAGGCTGCCTCTGGATGCTTGTTTCCACCTGCCCACGAGCTTCGGCTCACTTGTGTCCTACACATGTCTGTCCTGTGAACCTCCCAACTGTGGGCATCGTGTGCTGCAGGCTTCCTGACCATAGCCGTCTCATCTCCCTCTTGTACAATTCCTATCAGCTTCAACTTGTCCAAAAGCCCAACAAGAAGGCCCCTGTGGATTAGCTCTGACCTGGGAAACCCAATTTCTCTACCATCCTGCAGGCTGCAGTAGCACCTCTTCAATGAATTCTGAATCTCCTCCGAAGTTTGTCCTTCCTTGAGTTCTCCACTAACTCCCCAGTACACCCTTGAGAGTCCCTGCTAGAGGGAAAGACAGGTGCACACACACACACACACACAGAAAGAGACACACAGGTCATTTATCCAATGCTTCACACCCCAAATGCCTTCAATAGTTGGGGCTTGGCCAGGCTGAACTACCTCTGGGTTTTCCACATGGATGCGAGGATCCAAGTACTTGAACTTCCCATGCACATCAACAGGAAGCTCAGTTGGAAGCAGAGGCAGGACTGGATCCCAGGCACTCTGATGTGGGATGTGAGTATCCCAAGCAGCAGCTTCACTCATGAGCCCCAACTCCTGCTCCTAGAGTTCTTTTATAGTCACTATGTGATTTCTGCCTCCTGCTAGGGCTCACTATCAACATACCTGGTAATTGTAACCTGTAATAAAAGGTATAAGGGAAAATCCTTTCATCAGCTCATATGGAATACAATTTAACTCCATCCTCCCCCGCCCACACACACATAAAAACAACCAGAAAATTCAACAAAATATAAGAAAGCCTGGATTTCAGACATTGGTCATCAAGCAGCATAGGACGGTGATTTTGAGAATCAGCAACACACAAGGAGAAGTCTTGTCAAATCCTTTGCCCAATTAAAAAAAGCTTTTTTATTTTAATTAAAAAATGAACTGTAGGGATTCTTTATGTATGTTTCCCATCACTTTGTTGATTCTTTGCTGTGCAAAGATTTTCTGGGTTGATATAATCCCAGTTGTCGATTTTGGTTTTTGATGTTCTATACAAGCTGTCACTGCCAAGACTAATGTCAGTAAGGCTGTTCCCAATGTGTACTTCTAAGAGTTCTCTAAGCCTTTAGTCCATTTTTTATTTGTATATATGGTCCAATATAATCTTGTGCATGTGGCTATCCATTTTCCTTAAGACCTTTTAAAAACTCAGGAGACCATATTCTCCTTCTTTGCACTCCCCTCAAAGATCAGTTGACCCTGTATGCCTGGGTCTATTCCTGGGCACCCTATTCTGTTACATTGGTCTATATGTCTGTTGTATGCCAATAACATAATGACTTAAAAACGTAGGAAAATACACTGTTTAAATCAGGACGTGTGTGATGGCTGCAGCTTTGTTCTTTTTGCTCAGAATCACTTTGTCTCTCCAGGGTCTTTTGTGCATCTGTATAAATTTTATGATTATTTCTCTATTTCCATAAAAATGCCCTTACAATTTTGACAGCAGTCTCGTTGAAATTGTAGATCACTCTGGGTAGTAAGGATATTTGGGCAATATTTTCCCAACTCATAAATGCAGGATGTCTTTCCATCTTTTTTTTTATTTGACAGATAGAGTAGACAGTGAGAGAGAGAGACAGAGAGAAAGGTCTTCCTTCCATTGGTTCACTCCTCAAATGGCTGCTACAGCTGGAACTACACTGATCCGAAGCCAGGAGCCAGGTGTTTCCTCCCAGTCTCCCATGGGGCTGCAGGGGCCCAAGCACCTGGACCATCCTCCACTGCCCTCCCTGGCCACAGCAGAGAGCTGGACTGGAAGAGGAGTAACCGGGACTAGAACCTGGCACCACAGGCGGAGGATTAATCAAGTGAGGCACGGTACCAGCCCCATCTTTCCATTTTTTTATCATCAATTTCTTTCATCAATATTTTTGGAACAGCTTGTCTCCATTCTGGTGGTAAGCATTCCACTCGCTGGCAATGTCAGGTGACCAACCCTGGAGTTGTCAGGTGTCTGTGTGATGGGTCCAACTAGCTGCTTGGTCCCTTGCAGGAGTCAGGTGCCTCTGCTCTGAGGTAGCAGGTAGAAGAGGAAGATGCTTACTTCACCTCCCCTACTTGTCCCACCAGACACTCCCGTGCTACATCTTCTTGCCCAGTTATCCTCTCAAGGAAATCTGCTTCTATTCCCCTATCTCCCACAGGAACTGGAGCCTGTAACCTACCACCCAGGCAGGGTGTGCTCGGGATTTGACCTGACCCTTTGAATTTGTGTAGTAGCTGCTACTAGCTGTCTATGACGATGCTCTCATGTTCCTGGGGTTCATTCCTGCCACACCTAACACCCTGGAGACCAAAACCTCCCAGACTTTATTGAACACCATCATGCTTTGAGGATAAAAAGAAAGATGCAAAAAAAAATTTTAAAAGAAGAGATACAACTGATTTTTGTGTTTCAGTTCATCATCAACTTTACTCAGTTCATTGATCCGTTCTGATCAGCATTTTTTTTTTCCTGGAGATTTTTTTTTTTTTTTTTTTTTTACAAATAAGATCATGTCCTCAGCAAACATGATTTTGCTTCCACCTTTCCTATTGAGGTGGATTTCTTTACTTTTTTGCCTAACTGCTCAGGATGGAAATTTCAGTACTACAATTGAATGGAAGTGGCAAGGGCAGACATGCTTAGCTTATTCCTGCTCTTAGCTTAATCTTGTTCTCCATAGAGGGTGCTATCCCCTGTGGACTTTTCAATGTGGTCTTTACTATGTAAGTTAACTTACTATGTAAGTTCCTGCTACACTTATTCTGTTGAAGTCTTTATCTTTAATCTACGTGTTGTATTCTATCAAAAGCTTATTTTGCAGTGATTGAGGTAAGCATATGATTTTTATCACTCATTCTGTTAGCATGCTGTATCATATTTATCAATTTGCATGTGTGTTGAACCATCTTTACATTCCATGAATAAATCTTATGTGGTCATGGTATATGATCCCTGTAATGTGCTATTGACTTCAGTTAATATTTTGTTGAAGATTTTTGCATTTATGTCCATGAAGGGTGTTAGCCTTTTCTTGTGATATCTTTGTCTGGCTTTTGCTTCAGGAAGATATTACCCTTTTGAAAAGTTTGACAATGTTTTCTCTTCAATTTTGCAGTCAATTGAAGAAGATTGATGTTAACTCTTTAATAGATGTTTGGTAGAATTAGCCTGTGGAGCCATTTATTCCTGGGATTTTCTTTGTTGAGAGGTTTTTGATTGTTCATCCACTCCCCTAAATTTTTTTTAACTTTTATTTAGCAAATATAAATTTACAAAGTACAGCTAGGGATTACAATGGCTTCTCCCCACCCCATAACTTCCCTCCCACCCACAGCCCTCCCATCTCCCACTCCCTCTCCCATTCCATTCACATCAAGATTCATTTTCAATTATCTTTATATACAGAAGATTAATTTAGTATATATTAAGCAAAGATTTCATCAGTTTGCACAGAACATAAAGTTAAAATACTGTTTGAGTACTAGTTATAGCATTAATTCACATTGAACAACATATTAAGGACAGAGATCCTACATGAGAAGTAAGTGCACAGTGACTCCTGTTTTTGACTTATTTTTATTGGTTTCTTCAGGATTGCTATTTCCTCTTGATTATACCATCATAAGTTGTGTGTTTCTACGCATTTCTTTTTTTTCTAGTGTATCATTTGTTCAAATACAGTTGCTCACAATAGTTCTTTTTAATTTCTGTGTTGTCAGTTACGATATTCCCTGTTTCATTCCTAATTTAATTTGTTTTTTTTTTTTCAAGATTTATTTACTTATTTGAAAGTCAGAGTTACACAGAGAGGAGAGGCAGAGAGAGAGACAGAGAGAGATCTTCCATCTGATGGTTCACTCCCCAGCTGGCCACAATGGCCTGAGCTGTGCCGATCCGAAGCCAGGAGCCAGGAGCTTCTTCTGGGTCTCCCACGTGGGTGCAGGGGCCCAAGGTCTCAGGCCATCTTCTA